TAGATGAAATCAACTCTCTGCTTTTATACTTCTGTATGTTGTTAGCCCACAACGTGAGCTATGTAACACTTCCTGCAGAAATGTAAATATTACTGTTCCAGGTTGCAGCGGCAACAACATCAATACAAAGAGATCTAGCCATAAGCTGTGAAACGGATCCAATAACAAGTTTCATTGACACAATTTGACCAACTATGGAAGCAACACTTTTTACAGGAATCCTCTGTGTATGACTTGACAACAACAACCTTATTGCTGTTAATCCTCAAGTCGAGGGCCGATTCAAACGTGGCTTTATTTCTCTCTAGTTGTGACAAAATGGCGTCTAATTTTTCGTCAGAATTCATGTTAAATGCTGAAAGGTCGGGAGTGCACTGATCGAGAATGCCAAATTCAAATATCTACACCCTTATATACTCCCATAACACGCCACCTACCGTGCAGATAACCCATGTGAACGCTTCATACCGCTAGGAGAAAATATTCCTCGTCTTGGTATCTGCGAGTTTCATTCTTTTTGCCATCCTTGCCCTTACCGGGCAGATAACCCATGTGAACGCTTCATACCGCTTGGAGAAAATAATTTCCCTCTAATTCATACTTCAAACGATAGAAATAATATTGTGAAACATGTCAATGGGTTGTATATATTCAACGCCCACGCGACGTTTAAACAACGGCACCCACCGTTTCTGGCCCCTGATATAGGCAAGTTATTTTGATTAAACATTTAGATGATGTGTTACAAGGATGATATCAAACTACACAAGTGGGTCTATCGCAATGCCATACCGTGCTGGCTGATCACAGTGCTGCTTTGTTTATTTACTGCAAGGTCACCTAATAGGCTTAGTTGTTAAGAAGTTAGCATAGACCGAGAAACCTATGAAAATGTCATGCTGGTTAGATGTTATATTTATATCCAGTATTTTGCTGACAAGCCTTGATAGGACTGAAATACTGTCCATAGCTTCACTGAACCGTTCTTACTCACCACTGACATTAAAAATCTTTATTGTTTGGCGTTCACATGTGCATGATGATTTACTGATCACCATCTGTCCATGTAGAATCTCGAGAGGCTCTGCTTCCGGTACTAAGCTGGTACCCGGGCAACTTGCGATATGCGAGACGGGGCCCAGCTTACTTCCTGTACTAGATTTCCGGTGACAGGCGTATATTCAAAAACCAGTTCTGGTTCCAAATTGCGCCACCGCCAGATGTGCATGGATTCCTGCAAGGATTATCGGTTCCTTACTCTCAACTGACAACAATGAGACCATTCGAAAAGGTATGAAACGTTGTAGGTCACCGGTTGTACTGAAGTCAAGCGAAGCGCCGTGATCTACTTATGGGCACTATAGGACCCGTAAGTAGGTCACGGCACTTCGCGAGACATTACGTTGTTTAGTACTTCCGGTGACAAACAACGTTTTTCGGCAATGGCGAGAGCACTGTTACATGGGGCATGCCATGGATAATCATACTCGACACTCGCTATGTGACTCAGAAAACTATGTCATGTCACATGCCCAGACTATAAACGCACTAAGGCAATGCTGCATGAATAGCACGTGGATACCTGCCAAACAGCTGGAGAGTTGTCACCGCGTCGTCTTCAGGCTGGCCATTAGTCGAGGTAAGTTTATTTGTTACATGGATTTCTTGTTAAAGGCTGGCACAGTTTAAGCATGACACGCACTGTAAGGGTGGAGTTGACATGTGTGCAGATTGGTGGATCGTTTGATTGCATTTGATATCTTACAGTGGGATTTTATTGTCCCCCCGAGAACGTATGTAAGACCACGTCTTTCAAAGTATGTTTAATGTCACCACATTTTTAATCATAGTATATATGTTCGTTTAAATTAATGTCTAAACTGTCAACAGCTGAGGGGATGATGTAAATCCAGCTCGGGTCCATGCAGGTAGCAAAAGTACTGAACGTTCCCGTCCCCATCTGTTGGCAACCTATAGCCCATGTTTCTATTGTACTGTTCTATTTAATAATATCGTTTTATGATAGCGTGCTAATTTTACTTTAATACATGTGATATACTAGCAGTTTTACTGTTCTTCGACAACAGACTTTTAATTTCTAATTGTATTGATCTATAATAATAAATTGTTCTCATCACGATATCTATAGCTGAAATATTGCCAATGTGACGATAAATATTATCTCACCCACTCACTACAATTGGATATTGCATTTGTTATATTTATTTAAACTTACTTAATTCATCATGGCAACTATCAATTAAGTTTATCCATAACAATGTAAAGTTATTTTGGAATCTCACAAATATTATTTGGGTCAATATTGGTGAAGTTGTGCATAAAACATTTTATCGGGAATTGTGTTAATAAAGAAAGTATCTTGCAGTTGATTATTACAAACCCATTTAGCATTTGTTTATGGTGCAGCATGTTCAGGTAAATATAACATCCACATGCTTAATTTATCAATAATATCTTGGTGTCAACACTGTAAGGAACTGTTTACATTTTTTTAAGTATACCATACCTGGTCTCACATGTGTTATGTATTTTTCAGTTGCAACAGATGCGCATCTTTAAGAGGAGAAAGGAGGAGGAATAGATCACCACAATTACCATTGACATCAAGAGCAACATAAACTGAAAAAGATCTTCAGATTTCTTTTAACATCTGGTGTTCAAGCAATACATTGACAATGAATTGCAAGTCACTGAAGTGTTGTATATACATATTAAAGGCCTACACATAATCCTTTGGACACTTGCTTGAACAGGAAATGCTTGTCATCAACTTCTTGTGATATCTTGGGACTCTCAGATAAATCAGTGAGAATTTAGATGAGTGAACATGAAAATATTCCAGTTCATACACTTACAGTATCTGGGAAATGCAAAGAATGTTTGATATGTTATGAGTAATTATGTCTTTGGAATAAAATTGCAGAATAGTTCTCAAAATTGTTTATTGTTTATTTAGTGTGGATAAAGAAAGCACAAATTGAATGGTTTGGAAGATTTCTGCTTTTAGCCATGACATTGATTTGACATTAAATATATAATGATGAATGTATGAGATTAGATTTTCAGTGTATAAAGAAAAGGTTTCCAAGTGAGAGAGTTGGGTTTTACGCCGCTTTTAGCAATATTCCAGCAACATCATGATGGGGAGAGCAGAAATTGGCTTCACACTTTGTACCCATCTGGGGAATCGAACCCAGGCCTTCAGTGTGACAAGTCAACAGTTTAACCACTAGGTTACCCTACTATCACAGTTTCCATGAAAAAACATGCTTACCAATAACAATTAAACTTAATCAATGGCATAGGCATGTATTTCTACATGCCATGGATTTTTTGTTGAAATATGAAATTCTTTGTTTATATTTGCTGTAAGATTACGACATTGGTTCATAGCACAATATCCAGTACACATTATTCTTTTCCATTATTTTAAAACATATTGGTCTAGCTGTATATTGGAAAATATGGAATGCCAGTTACCAACCTTGGCCTCGTTGGCAGAATATTTGGAATATATAAGTTACTAAAAATGGGTGAAAAACACTGTTTCATGACAAGTAATCATACTCATGCCGCTATCAGCCAGTGTCTGCAGAATCTACAGTCATGACATAGTATATATACACATTTAGTTTCCCCATGTATTGGTCAGTATATTTAACAAAACAGGAAATGTCTTTGAGTGATTACTCCATATTTGAGTATATTTGGTCTTGCATTTTTGCCAATTGTGACATGAAGGTGCCGTGTGCTGCTTCATATTTTGCAGAACCTCACCCCTGCATAACCAAGAACTAAGTAACACGCATGTACTGTTGATCATAGTACATAGTTGACAACATCCAAGACATCTAGTACAAAGTGTAATTAATATTGTCCAACAACCAGTTTTTATATATCACCCCATTAAAATAATGTTTACATAAGTTGATAAATAGTTGTGTCATGATGAATATTCATATGGCTGAAGGTTTTCACATTTTTATTTTGACATTAGTTACCGAAATAATTGTAACCTTGCCATCAAGGTTATTTTGTTGAGCTGTTGATTGATTTGTGACCCTATGACTTCTTGTGTGAATAACAATGTCACCCAAAATGGCAAAGTTCATATATCTATATTTAAAAAAAAAATGTTACAAGAACTGCTATTTTTCAATTTGTCATTATCAATATATTTACAGCAATTTGCACACAATTTGCCACATAGGCAAAAAGGCAATTGCCTACACATAGTTTTGTAAAAAAAATATTGAAAAAAAGAAATGATAAATTTGAAAGAAAAATCTTACTTGTGAATTTATTTCAACAAGCTGAAAACATGGGTATGTACGTATAATAATTGCATACTAACTTTTTGCCTACACATATTAATTGGCTCAGATACACCCCTGCCATGTCATTGATTTCCGAAATATATTTCCTGACAAACACTGTCCGCGATATTGAAAATAAACACTTTTAGCGTTAGAACTGCACTGTTTGTCAAAAATATATAATGTTTTCGAATTTACTTATGGTTGTCGGTTGTCAGTAAGGAACCGATAATGCTTGAAGGAATAATAATTGTTCGATCTTATCGTCCCAAAATGATCCAATTATTCCGACTGTCACCAGCTGTGACAGACAGGCATGGTAGTACACTTGGTCCGGTCTAGTAAGGTGATATTTGGCGGTCGCGCAATTGGGCACAAGAACTGGTTCTTGAGTAATCGCTTGTCACCGGAAACCTAGTAGCGGAATTAGCGCCTCGCGAGACTTACGGGCCCTATAGTACTGTTTGCCGATAACCAAATACAAGATGCATATATATATAAACATGTTTATTTGTCAATAAATGATAAAACTAATCATACGCAATTTTTTCTTGAAGTCAACCTAGACTCAGCGAGGTTGTAATATGCAATATATTGGATATATAACCTACTGTGGGTTGTTTAATTGTAATACGTAATGGCAAGTATGCGGTTGTGTTGCAGATGCTGCCTCCAGGACGTCATGGCAGAAGTAAAAAACTGTACAAGCACTGAACTTGTTTGCTCAAACACTCCTGTACAATCTTAATCAGATAAAGTATGTATGATTGGTGTATATAACTGTGACTACAGCTACTGACTGCTTCTCTCTGAGAATTTTTGTACCACTTCTGAGTCCTTAGGATCCATAACCCGTAGACTTTTAGTCAGATAAACTACATCTGATGGTGTTTACTATTGGCTTACAGTTATATACTTACCTCCATGTGCAAACACTATGCCTTTTTGAAACTTTTCAGGTCAATATGTATACACATCTACATTCGGATAAATCACACCAGATATGGTAGCCTATTAGCTCATAGTCATAGTGACTCTTCTTGCAGACCTTCTGCCACTGTTCAATTATTGTATTTTCAAACATGCTTGTACATCTCTAAGCTGACAAATTACATCTGATCGTGTACACTATTGGCCTTTTGGTTTGTTATTAGCCTATAGCCATATGTGCCTTTCTTGAACTTTGCATCTCAAACAGTCAGATTGTCTGTCTATATCTGATTTTATGTATCACTGGCATACAACCTTGAAGTTTACATTCTCTGTCAAACATTGTGCCAATCTTGAACCGGATTGTACCAGCCGGAGATAGAGTATATCTGGTTTTATACAACAGTTTTATAAAATACTGTATATCTGTACAGCCATAGAATTACTTCATTGCACTTTTCAATGTCCATCTCCTTGAACTTTGTTATGAAGCTTGTATACTGATGCCTGTTCGTACCCATGTGTCTGTACCCATTATGCTGGAATAACACCAAAAAAAAAGAAGAAAAGATATGGCAGAAGTTCAGACGGCGTTTAAGAAAGAAGGATCCTTGCTATGTTTCAGTTCTTTTCCCAAAGGGAACGTTACATCATATAAACGTTGTCGGAACGTTGTTGTTTGTACGTCGCAGAATGGCTAACGTTACGTCACCAAGCCTGTATGATTGTCTCAGCACAGGCAATTTTTTAATTTCTTGAAGGGTATTCTTTGATCTGTAAGAATCACATCTGACGACTATGAACTAACGCTTTCTTATTGGAAGATGAATCATTTATCAGGTATAGAAATTACAAGCAGAATTTTGAAACAACATAGTTCCTGCTACCTACTTTTTCATTGTGTCCATCTCGTGTGTACGGCCTGACATTGTTTCAGTGTTTGGGAAAAATGAAAGACCCTTTACGTAGGCGTGACAAAGTGTTTGACATTGTGTAATATATGTCGGCGTACAGTAAACTGTGCATATAAATATGTTTTGCATTTAATAATAATAATTATTATTTTCTAATGATATTGACATGACATTTGGACTTGACAAATGTAATACTCTTCATTTGAAACGTGGCAAGGTAGTTAATGATAGATAGTTCAAGTTACAAGGGGGAGGAGTTATTGAGCATCTTGTGGAAGATCAGGCCTACACCTATCTTGGAATGCAAGTTCGAGACAAGCTCAAAAATGCCCAGTTTCAAGAAAAACTTCGGGCTGAGTACAAATCTCGATTAAAGAAAATCTGGAGCTCAGAGCTAAATGCTCGAAACAAGGTCAAAGCCACCAATACTTTTGCTGTGCCAGTCCTCTCCTATTCCTTTGGAGTAGTTGATTGGACAAAACAAGACATCCAGAGTCTTGACCGCCTGACCAGAAGGATCATGTCTGATAACAGAGCCCACCACCCTCGTTCCTCTCTTAATCGTTTATACATGCCAATCAATTCTGGAGGTCGGGGTTTGATTAATGTGAGGGCTCTTCATGATAGAATTATATTGTGTACTTTTGCACATATTTATTTATCGGATGATCCTCTGGTGATGCATGTGAAGACTCATGATGAAAGAAAGGAATTCCACAGCTATTTTAAGCGTGCCAAGGTTGTTGGACAAAATCTAAAATTTGTGGTTGATTTTGCTGATGGCGATGTACTGCTGGACGGTACAGCGATGGGAGTAAGCCAGGTGAAGTCCTTCACAAAGTCTGCCCAGAGTCGGTCTTTCGTGGAGAAGCTTTCTGAGAAGCCATTGCATCGTGTGTACATGCAGTGTGTAGAACAGAATAGCAATCCCACCGACTCCTTTGCCTGGATGAAGTCGGCTGATCTTAAATGTGAAACTGAGGGCTTCCTTTTTGCTGCTCAGGACCAGTCACTTCCCACTCGTAATCGCCAAAATGTGATTCTTAAAGAAAATATTAACATGAAATGCCGACTGTGTAATGAATTTACAGAGACTGTCCAACACCTTGTCAGTGGATGCCCTTCCTTGGCACAAACAGCATATCTTAAGAGACATGATGGCATGGCTCTCTGCTTTTATTACCGTCTTCGCCATGCCTGTGGCTTTGACTCCGAGGTCCAACCATGGTACGACCCTGAACATGTCCAGGGCTTTATGGAAAATGATGCTTTCAAACCTTTGTGGAATAGGCCCATATACAGCCTGAGGAGAATTCCTGCCAACAAACCTGATCTTGTCCTTTTGATAAAGCCAATGAATCTATTTATATCATTGAATTTCTGTCCCTTTTGACAGCAATGTGATTGACAAGACTCGGGAAAAGCATGATAAATATGCGGACCTCGCCTTTGAAATGTCTCGCTTGCATCCCAAATACACTGTCGTTAGGCTCCCCATTGTTCTCGGTGCCCTTGGTTTGGTACCTCCTGATCTCTTGGCGCAGATCAGGAGAGTGCCCGGGTTCTTCACCGGGAGCACAGCCCTACTGACACTCTGGGTAATGCAGAAGGCTGCAGTGTTGGGGAGTCTACATATTCTCCGGAAAGTTCTTGGTGGGTTCGACTAGGCAGTGTTTCTTGGGAGAAGTCCCATTCGCTGTCTGGGCTGCGTGTAGAGGGGGCGAGGGCCCTGAGCTGATGATGAGCCTTACCAGCCTGACTGTGCCAGGATCACCCGAAGCCTCTCTGCTGCATTTTCATCTTTAATCTGTAAAATAATAATAATAATAATGTGTCCATTTATATAGCGCCAAACTCCACACTGGGTATGCTCATAGCGCTAACAATCAAGGCACAGCACATTATTACCCCGGATAACCCAAGCTGCCTGTTAGGCGCTAGAAGGTTATAATCATATGACTTTTTCCACCGGGTACCCATTTTCCTGCTGGGTGAACAGAGACAATTTTGAACAAACTCACTTGCCTAAGGTGAGATCACATGTGTCACATGTGCTTCGTTGTGGGGCAGGACTCAAGACCTAGAAACTCTCAGAGTCAAGCTGCCAAACACGGTCACCCATCCAAGGACTTTCCGAGCTCGACGCTGCTTAACTTCACCGATTTGTGACCCGAGCTTTGAGCACTGGACCACGCGCCACCACATTTGCAATTAACTATCATGTAGATAACTGAAAATAAAAGCTGAATCATGGTTACACTACAATAGGTCATGTAACGGTCGCAGTCCTGTATCATATTATAGGCTTTACGAAATATCATGTTTTCCCTTTCGATTAATATACCCTTCAAGTTAATGTCGGTGGATTCTAAGTGTGCATTAATGTATTAATTGTTTTCGTCACGATATGGCTGAAACATTGCCGATGTCGCGTTAAATATGAACTCACTCCAACGAAACGGATGCATTGATGCTTGAACTCAACGATTATCTACTTGTAACAATGTTTAACCACTGTAACCAGGAGGTTCTCCTGCATGTCAGACGCGTGAAGATGGTGTTTTATATAAATTCTAACTTAAACAATATTAATTTTAGGCATGATTAGTGAATAATTATATGACATCATCCAACTGCTTCTTAATTAATCTTGAAATATTTCTGCTATGATGTACGGAGTGTGAAATACAACCTTTCTGAAATGTCCACCCATACAGTTTTTAGTAAATTCTAGCTTAAACAATATTAGTCTTAAACATGTATATAATTTATTATGTATTATCTGTGACACATATTCCTCATGAGCTAAACACATTTATGATTTCGGCTCAGTATATGCAATGAACAATCACCATTGACAATACATTATTTACCGTTACTTCGTAACTTTTCGTTTTTCTCTCTATCACCCTGTGTTGATTGGATTATTTGATTGTCCTCATGTTTGCATAGATCTTTACATTGAAGTTGTTACACAGCAACACAGACTCTCAGAATGCTATCTCCCACCTAGAGGAGTGTACTATTTCCATCAAGTCTTGTAAGGCTGACTTGTAACAATTGAAGATGAATGATGGAAAAACTGAAGCAATCATTGTGGGGCAAAAACAGAAAACACGTCCTTTTGAAGACAGGGACATTTCGGTTGGTGATGCCAACATACCGTACTCTTCTGCTGTTAAAAACCTTTGAGTTGTGATTGATTCTGGTTACCAACACTTGCAGAAGCTGCTATCACCATCTTCGCAACATTGGTCACATTCGACAAATGCTCTCCAGAGAAGCCACATGTGTCCTTGTACGCTCTTTAGTCCAATCACGATTAGACTACTGCAACAGTCTGTATTACGGCTTGCCAGAGAGACTCCTCACAAAGCTCCAGAAGGTGCAGAACACTGGTGCAAGGAACAAAGAAGCGCTCTCACATCACGCCTGTCTTGAAGTCCTTGCACTGGCTGCCAGTGCGAGCAAGATTACAATTTAAGACTCTCACATCAGTGCTTTCACACAGCTGCGCCAAGTTACTTAAGTGACATGCTCTCCAAGCACAATCCTGTGAGAACATTAAGATCAGCAAATCTTGATGTTTTGGAGATACCAAACGCCATCTGATCATGGAATCAATTGGCTATCCCTCATTCAGCTATGCTGCACCTTCAATCTGGAACTCTCTTCCCCATGATATCAGACTGTCACCAACCCTAGAAAACTTCAAATCTCATTTAAAGACATGCCTTTTTCGAAAATACTGTCATTGCTAGATTTCCGTGTTCCTACTCGCTTTAAATACTATGTGTATACTCATCATAGCGCTTAGAGCAGACACTTAGTGCTTAGAGTATTTTAGCGCTTTATAAATTCACTAATTATTATTATTTTTACTACCTTTATTAAACCTTTAGATGATTTAGTGAACAGTACTTAAAGAGTAGGGATGGCTAATATTACAGGTAATCGGAAATATCGTCGATAGGAAAGATTATTAATGATTATCAACATAACAATTTTGTTATCGAAAAATAGGAAACCGTTTTATTTTCCCACACAATACACAATTCTAGGACTTTATTCGTGGTCTGCTTCCAAATTATGTTCAGGACACGCTTTTGTTAATAACCCATGCAAAATATGTCACTGCTCACCAGTGATGTCAAAAATATTAATTTCTTTCAGACATTTT